ATTCTGGGTTTGGTGGTGGGACTCAAGGAGTTGTGTCTGTGGATTAAAGACAGCTATGTTGGCCTAGAAGCACCAATCCGTGTTTTAAAAAACGCATTGTTTTCTCATTATTATTCTGATAGATTTTGTAATATAATACAAATAATAACAATATCAGACTGCTCTTGAGCTCATCATAGAACCAATCGATTACCTGAAGTGTTTCAAATATTATAGACTATACTTTTTGTGCAACTGCTTATCAGAAGATTGTGGATAACGAAGGGCGATATGCAAGTTAAATTAATCCTCTCTTGCTATCTCAGATCGGAAAAACTTAAAAACGTCAGAATTTTCTGCAGATTCTGAAATATTTTCCCCTGTGTTTACTTTCAGCTGGTTTATCCTCAAGATGTGAAGCTGACAGAGAAAGAGGTAAATATCTTCAGCTTCCTGATCACCTGTAAGTGTTGTTGATTACACTTTCACTGATTCTGTTTCGTGTTGACAGAAAACCAGTATCTGCTACCTGTCCTTCCCCGACTCGTACTCAGGTAAGCTGAGGTAATGCTAATTAATACTGCAGGTGTCAGAGGTTGGAGGTCAGAGGTCACGTGGGCTGTCTGTTATTTCCCAGGGTGCCTTGGGGACACTCAGTTTAGCTTCCGCTTCCGTCAGTCTGTCGGTCGCCGAACATCAAGGCTCAGAGACGACCTTTACAACCGTGACGCTCCCGTCACACTGCAGGTGAGACTCACCTGGTTCCTGAATGGCTGATTGCTTCAGCCTCACAGGTGCGTAACATTTCTGTTCTGTCTGTCAGAGAGAAACGGCGCATTTCTTCGGTTACGTCTACTTCAGACAAGTGAAGGACGTCTCTGTGAAGAGGGGCTACTTCCAGAAGGTCACCAAACACATCTGTGTTCACCTGTATTCACCTGCTCACAGGTGGTCATGATGGTGATAGTCATTTGACTCTGTGTTTCAGTCCCTGGTGCTGGTGTCAAGGTTGCCATACACTCACCTGTTCCACTCGCTGATGCAGACCATTGCACCTGAGTTCTTTGAGAAGCATGAGCCCTGCCTTGAAGCAGGTAATCACATCATGCTTGGATCATATCTGGGAGGCAATCAGGTTTCAGAATGGCCCTTAACGTGTTTTTCCTCTGCTCATCCCCGTAGTTTGTAACGAGATCGACCAATGGCCGACACCTGTACCTGGGCAGACCCTCAACCTGCCCGTAATGGGCGTTATCTTACAGGTGAGGAGAGAAGTGGCCTGGCTCACAGGTGACAGAAGGGATGTGGTTTACAGGTGTTTGTGTGTCTCATGTTTCAGGTGAGGATTCCTTCTAAATTCGACAAACCTGGGGGAAGTCCGGTGCGACAGACGGCTAAAGAGGTGAGGTCTTGTTGCTTTGATCTTGTTAATAATGTTTATTCTTCTTCTTGTTGTTGTTAATAAAGTTTTTTGTATGCATGCTCAGAACCTGCTGCCGGTGCCGACCCTTCTGCCCACCATCCACGAGCTGGACCTGTTTAAGTCAGTACTCGTTAAGGTGTTCTATGTTTCTCAAGTGTAGGTGTGCTCTCTGATTGGTTAATCTCAGTCTCACCTGTGTCCTGCTCAGGTGTTTCCAGTCCATTCTAATCCACCTGCAGATGCTCTGGGAACTTACCTTGCTCGGGGAGCCGCTTGTCGTTATGGCTCCATCTCCCACCGTTTCTTCGGAAACAGTCCTGGCTCTCATCAGGTAACTGAGGGGTCACAACGAGCCCCCAGCATCCAATCAGAGTATGGTGTTTCTGTTGTTACCATGATAACGATGTGTGTCCACAGCTCCATCAGCCCTCTGAAGTTCTGCTGCGACTTCCGACCCTATTTCACCATCCATGACAGCGAGTTCAGGGAGTACACCACCAGGACGCAGGCGCCGTGAGTCATGCTCACCTGGAGCCTGAACACACCTGTGCTGTAAACACACCCTTGGGACACTTAAAGCCTAAGTTTAGGAAAGCGGTCGACAGATGTTCCAGCCTCACGTGTGATTACCTGTTTCTTCTTCTCTTGTTCAGACCAAGCGTCGTGCTGGGCGTCACCAACCCGTTCTTCATCAAGACGTTTCAGAGCTGGCCTCACATCGTCCGGCTGGGAGAGGTCAAGATGGCAGGTACGCCGTATTCCTCCTCTTCCTGCGTGTTCACTGTGAGCTTCCTGTTTCTGTGAAGTGCCATGGCTGTCAGGCGTGTGCTGTTCAGATCGTCTTCGCCGTTCTTGTTGTGACCTTTTTAATCACGTATGCGTGCTGTCTCTGATGTCTTCCAGGTGATTTACCGAAGCAGGTGAAGGTGAAGAAACTTTCTAAGCTGAAAACGCTTGACACCAAACCAGGTAAGCCGGTGGGGGCGTGTTTGTACCTGAGCTCAGGTAGATGTCTGTCATGCTGAAGGTTTGTTTTGGCAGGAATCTACACGGCTTACAAGACGTTTCTGCACAAGGACAAGATCCTGATCAAGAGGCTGCTGAAGGTGAGCACACCTGAGCACACCGCACACACAGGTAATGCAGAGTGTCGCTGACTGACTGTTTACCTGCAGGGGATCCAAAGGAAGCGGCCGTCGGAGGTGCAGAGCGCCATCCTGAGGCGACACCTGTTGGAGCTCACGCAGAGTTTCATTATCCCCCTGGTAAGTAGTTGCGCAATCAGCTCGCATTGCCTGTACTTTATGATGTAAGCATAACTTGTCCAATCACAGAGCAGTTCTCAGTAAGCAGCGTGTTTTGTCTAATAGGAACGCTACATGGCGAGTCTGATGCCCCTGCAGAGATCCGTTACACCCTGGAAGGTAAACAGGAAATGAGTGGTGGTGATGAGGTCACAGTGCTGTCTTGTGTTACACATTTCCTGTTTCCGTTCAGACTCCGCCTCAGATCCGCCCCTTCAGTCAGGACGAATTCCTGTCCACATTGGACCATGCGGGCCCGCAGCTCACCTCTCTGCTTAGAGGTGATTGGATAGGACTGTACAGGTGAGCCTCACGGGTGTGAGTGATCCAGGTGTTTTCTGTCTTCCTGTCTTTAAGTTTCTACTTCCTGTTTCCATCTCAGGAAGTTCTTCAGGTCTCCAAACTTTGACGGCTGGTACCGTCACCGCCACCGAGAGATGACACAGAAGCTAGAGAGTCTCCACCTGGAGGTCATCTGCGATGCGGTAAGTTATCTGAGCGAAAATGCTCGACCATCAGCCAGCTGTGCAGCCCCTAATCCAGGTGTGTCCTCTGCAGGACCTGCTGGGATGGACCAAAGACAAGTCTGAGGTGGAGGTTGTGGATCTGATTCTGAAGCTCAGAGAGAAGCTGGTGAGTTCCAACAGGAAGTTTGTTAGACAGGAAAAAAGTGTCATGTAAAATTGTGTTACCGATAAAAAGCTTAGGATAAAAATTAATTTGAAGAAGTAAAACTTAAAACTGCAGGTGAAAAAGATTTTAGTTACCTGAGAGTTAAATCAAAAGTGAGATGGTTTGATAGTTTGAAGCTGGACTTGACAATGCGTTCACTGACCATGGACGCTAAAGCGTTCACTAACGCTGGGACGTCTGCCTGTAATAAAAGTTCATGTTTGGGGTAAAATCCATCATATTTGTGATGGAGATGATGCTGCCCTGGGCCACAGAGGAGACTGGGGGAAAAATATTTTCTGGTTTCTTGTTTTAAAGCTTAGAGATGAAACTTTGTTATGAAAATGAAGCTATGATAATAATTCAGGATCCTTATCTGGGTTTAATCCAAAGTGAGGTGGTGGCCTGCAACTAGGATCGTTTGCTTCTTCTTTGTTGGTTTCATGTCAAAAGTCTAGTTTTTGAGGACAGGAAGTGTGTGTGGCTTTTCAGATTAAAGCTCGACGTCAGCAGCTGCAGCTCAGAGACGGTGTGATGGACAAACTCGACTCTTTCATCTCCTCCATCATCAGCTCGCTGCCTGCCGACCTGCAGATTGTGCTCGGCACAGGCGCGTCACCGTGACGACAGCTAACCCCACAGCCAGGACGCACGCTTGTGTTCATCAGCATCTTCACACTCCACAGAAAAACCAACATCGGCTCAAATCTTCAGTTTTTGGAATATTTAAATTTTATTTAAACTTTATTACCTGTCTCCATCGAGCTGCTGCTCTGGTGTTTTGGTTTCTCTGACGGTGGAATCAGGCTGTTCGTGTTTCACAGAAGTCGTATTTTTCTATCATCTCCACAAACGGAATGTAACACTAAGAATGAGGCTCCACTTTCTGTTTGTTTGTAAACCTTTATTTTGAAATTAAAGTCTGAGCACTTCCTGTCCTCTGACTTTTATTCATGTTTGTTTTATTTTAATGTCCTCCAGGATTCAGACTGAACAGAAAGGCTTTAAGTTTCCTCTCATGTCATGGTGAAATGTAACTTCTTGTGGTCTGACGGCGTCATCATAAGCCTTTGATCTTCATGCTGCTGCTCTTTAATGCTTCAGTTTCAGACCTCGAGAAGGAAACCTCCTGATTCTTTCTCTTTCCTTATTTATTTTATATAAAAATAATTAAGGCTCCACATCTGAACGTCTGAGTGAAGATCAGTGCAAACACATTTATGAACATTTCTGTCTTTGTTCTGTGCACCTGAAGGCAGTGTTTGTAGATGTGGACAGATGTTAGAGAAGCTCAGTGGTGAAGTATTTGATCAGTGTGACGTGTGTATGTCTGTCAGAAACATGAAATAAAACAAAGCTTCAGGCTTCAAAAACACCTTTACCTGTAATCTGACATAGGTGTGTTCACTGTTCCTCACAAATCAACTTTTTCCATCGTGTACAGTTTGCACTCTACCTGTTAAGTGAATTTAGCTTCACCTTTTCAGACCAGAGCCAATCAGAGGCTGGTAAAAGCAGGAACTGCAGCTGTAGACAGGTGATCTCACCTGAAGAGGCTGGACCAGGCAAATCGTATTTAGAGTTGTGTCATCATCAAGGCACTTCACTGACGCTCAGACAGATTGAAGCAGGAAAAATATTTTAATCTGAATCAAAAATATACATCAGCTGATTGACCAGCGAAGGTCACATGTTAACGTGTTTGTAGTGTTTGAAGTCACAAGACGCTCAGAGAGCAGCAAACCGTCAGAGAAACACCAGGAAGATGAAAAACACAATGCCCTCAAGTGCAGCACAAAGCCATGCCTTCAATGGCTCAGATGTCCAGGTGTTCTTCCTGCAGGTGAGTGTTTTCTTCCTCAGGTGCTCTACCTGCGTCCCACCCACCAGGTGCTGCCCTGCAGCCTCGTGACATCCTGCTTCTCCTGTGGGCTGAAATGCAGGATGGTGAGGATGGCAGTGAGCGTCTGCTGGCGCCCGTTGGCGTCCTGCAGCGTCAGAAACCGGTACACAATGTTCTTCAGGTACTCCATGTTGGCGCCCTCGCGGCTTTGGTCCCGGATCAGTTTTTCGAGGCGGTCCCGCAGGGCTGCCACCTCCTCATCATGGCGCTCGGCGTTTGTAATGAGTTGTGCCTGCAGCTGGCGCGTGTCCTCCTCCAGCTGGTTCTTCTGCCGCCGCAGTGCACCCACCTCCACCTCCTTACGTGCGAGCTGCTCAGCATACAGCAGCAGTGTTGACTCATTGGGTGTGGCCTGCCGCAGTGCCTGGCTGATCGCGTCGGTCTCTGTGTCAGGGCCATTCTCTTTAGGGTCAGCGGGTGTGTTATGAGCACGATTGGACCAGCTGAGTGTGGCGGCAGCGGCCCGCAGCCTCTCCAGCTCGCGGTCCTTCTCATCCAGCAACGCCATAGTGCGCTCACGCTGCTTGTGAAGCTCCGCCTCCAGTTGCAACAGTTCGTCACGGTGGAGTGCCTCCAGACGCTCCGCCTCCTGCCGGTGTGCCTGCTGCAGCGACACCGCCTGCTGCTGGCGCTCATCAAGCTGCTGGCGGTGGCAGACCTCGGCCTCGTCACTCTGCATGCGGAGGTTTATGTACTTCTCACGCAGCTCAGCAAGCTGGTCGCGCACTTCCTCCAGCTCCCGTGCCTGGCAGCCATCTTTGGCGTTCTTGTTCTTCAGAACCACTTGCGCTCGCACCTTGTAGCGCTCAAACTCATCCCTGAGCTGCCGCAGCTCCTGCTGATAGGCGAGAGCCGCCGCCGCCGCATCTGCACCCGGCTCCACCTCCAGGTCCTGGATGTTCTGGTCGGGGTTCCTCTGAGCCGCAAGGAGCAGCAACTTCTTCACCTTCTGCAGCTTCTCCCGCAGCGCCCCCACATCCAGTTGCTCGTCTGGCCCGAGGTCAGAGGTCACCCTGCTCGAGGCGGCGATGGCGAGTGTTTTGTTCTCCGTGTCAAGCTGCAGCACACGATCGCGGAGTCTCTGCGCTGCCTGCTGGTCACGCTGCCTCGCCTTCTCACACGAGCCCAGCAGCTCCGACAGCTCCGATACACGCTGCTCCAGGACCGCCACCCGAGCCTCTGCCGACTGAGCACGCTCACGAGCGCGCTCTTCTGCATCGCACACCTGCAACACGAACACAGACATGACCTCACTTCCTGTTCTAGTTTACATGGTCTGTTAGAGCTTAAACTGTTTAATGTGGTTAAACCAGGTTCACTGGGACCTGTTTGATTGGGACTTTGTTTGGACCTGGTTCTGGGCTCACCTTGCGGGTCTCGAGCTGGACCTGCTCCTGGACCTGGTTCTTCAGCTTGTTCAATTCTTGCTGCAGCTCGTCCACTCTGGGGTCGGGTATTCGTTGCTCCTCCTCGACAGCCTGCAGCCTCCGCCTCAGCTCGTCTCTCTCTTCCTTGACTTGGTGCAGGAGAGCCTCGGACTCCGTCCCCCGGTCCACGGCCTGTGATGTTACAAGCAAGGCGGTGCTGGCATCCTGGAGGTGGAGCTCAGCGTCCTGCCGGAGGTCTCGCTCGGCCTGCAGGAGCCTCTGTAGCTCGCGGAGCTGCTGAGCGTGGTCCCCCTGCTCCTGCTCGCGCTCGTGCTGCTGCGTAATGATGCGAGCGCGACTTTCAGCAAGCTGCTGCTGCAGGTTGTGCAGTTCCGCCTCGTGCTGTGTTGTCACGGAGACCAGATGTTCCTGCAGCTCTTCAACTTCCTGTTTCAGCTGCCGCTTGTCAGCCTGGAAGCTTGCTTCCATTCGCGACTTCTCCTGTGTCACCGTGGCCAGCGAGCTTGTGAGCGTGCTCAGTTGGCTCTTCAACTGGGCGACTCTGCGGTCTGCCTCCATGCTGGGAGGGGGTGTAGCCTGCTGCTGCTCTGTCCCCACGCTGCCACTCTCAGAGCTGCCATCGGGTTCAGATCCCTGCAGAACAAACATGGAGTCAGAGAATAAGACATGACATCATCAGAGCGTTATGGCGATGGTGATGTCATCAAGTTCTAACTGTGTTCTGGTGATTTAAGTTCAGTTGTCAAAGGAACATACCACCAGCCTTCCTCCCAGTTCTGCCTGGTCCTCCTCGCTCTGGTCGCCTCTCGTAGTCTCACTGGCCATGTCCAGAGACGCCGCCGTGTCCACGCTGTCCTCGCTGTGCAGCGAGCAGCCATCCTCGGTAAGCTCCTGTGTTGCGATGGTCGAACCCTTCTGGGTCAGGTCCAGGTCCTGGGTCACGCTTAGAACCTTAAGGCTGGCCTCCAGTGCCTCTTTCTCCTTCAGGAGGCTCTTGTAGGCCCGGACCACATCCCTAAAGCGGGTCTGGTACTGGATCAGCTGCTTCTTCTGGGACTCCACCGTGTCCAGCAGCTCCTTCCTGCTCGGACCGCCACCAAAGCTCATCCCGAACTTCTCCATGACCTCGTCCAGGTCTGACCAGGTCTGTCCAGGTGAGCCTCTGATCACAGACACCAGAACATGAACAGAACCTTAGCATTGACTTCCTGTTAGAGGGGAAACGGAGAACAGCTGTTCAGAGCACTCATCGATCAATTATCGATGGATGGTTTCTGCGAAGCTGAAACTTTGTGCTGGAACACAAAAGAAGAAGGAGGAGGAAAACAGTTTCTCACCTCTTTCTGTTTCTCAGTGTTTGTTTCTCCCTCTGATTGATTTTTCCGCCGCTTTGATCGTCTCTCCTCACACTGCGCCGACAAACCGGTTCGATCCGGATCACAAACTCACAACCTGTCCGTCACAGTTGGTCAATAATCGACCTAATCGATGAGTAAAATCCGACTCAAAGCTTCATCTGTCAACAGCCGCCATGTTGGACCGAACCGGAAGGGACTGAGACGGAGGAGGCGGGAGTTTACTACTTTGTTCACGGACGTCAGGAAAATGCAAAATAGGATGATTTTTATTTTTTTTTAGCTGATTTAAATTAAAAACTCACTGATTTAAATTAAATAAACAGCCAAACACAACCAATAAAGCAGATATATATATTTACCATTAATATGTTTAACATTTCTGAAAGCAATACAGTATTTTGAATTGATTGTTTATTGGGAGAAAACATTTTTTTTCTTATTTTGTACAAATTTTAGAAATGAACTATGATTAACAAAAAAACAAAATAATAGATTAAAAATAATCTTATTAGAACTTAATTTTAACTTTGTTGGTTGATCATTGATTGAAAATATTTTCATGATTCTGTGTATTAAATTCTGCTCCTCCGTTCTTCAATAGAAAACGCTTTATTATTCTACACACATATATGTTTTTAGCACTGTCACACAATCAGTACGTGTGTATTTCACTTTGTTATGTTCTGTTGTATAATGACGTGACCATAGTGACATATATACATATAAATTAAACGTATTAATATAAATGGCTGTCCCGGAGCCGAAAGTGTTCCTCGCAGCTCATGAACTTCACTTCATGCGCAGAGCTCGAATGTACGGTGTTTGAGCGAACAGTGAACGCCGCGGTGTTTGCTATGCTGTTAATAAAGTTTTTTTTTAAGCGCAGCAGTGACGTCATTTGTTCCGCGTTGGCCTGGACGTGGCACCGAGAGGAGCTGCGCCCTCAGTTCGCTCTGCTCCGCGCCTTCTCGGCTCCATTCCGCTACTGCTCCCGGATCTCCGGCTCTACCCGCTGTCAGTGTGTGACCTGCCACCTCCTCCTCTCCGCAGCCATGGGCCTCACAATCTCGTCGCTGTTCTCCAGACTGTTCGGGAAGAAACAGATGAGGATCCTGATGGGTAAGCGGGGGCTAGGCTAACGAGCTAACCGGCCGGGCTCCGGGGCGGCTGCAAGCGGCTCCGCGGGCTCACCAGCACCACACACCGACTCATTTTTACCAGGAACCCGCTCGCCGAGTCCTGCGGACCGCGGGCCCGATCTTCCCGTGCAGGGAGAAGCAAAAGTCCGGCTCGGAGAAGCAAGAGGCTGTTAGCTCGGAGCTAACGGAAGGAAGCAGGCTGAAAACAGTCCGTTAAACCTAGTTAAATTGGGGTCTAGACGGGGGTTAAACTGGGGTTAAAATGTTTTAATCTGGGGTTAAAATGTTTTAATCTGGGGTTAAGCTTAAAACTGTACCGGTGTCATTTTATTAAGTCCATAAAAAACATTAAACCCGGTTTGATCTGAGCTTTAAACCAGCAGCTGGACTCTGATCTAAGTTTAAGTAATCTCAGATTAGTCTTTATTCACTGTATGAGGTTTAAGTAATCTCGGGTTAAACTTGAACCACTGTGAAACATTTAATTAATGTGGGATTAATCTTTGATGTGTGTTTCAGTCGGTTTGGACGCTGCTGGAAAAACTACGATCCTCTACAAACTGAAGCTCGGAGAGATCGTCACCACCATCCCCACCATCGGTACGTCATCAGGACTCAGGGACAAGATGAGGTCATGTGATCAATAATCAGCCGGCTGTGTAGTCAGGTGGTTTAAACATATTGATCAGATCTGATCGGTTTCAGTGTGGATTCGCCAGGTGTGCTTGCACTTGCACAATTTCCTTTAAACTTCTCATTTCAAATTAAAAGTCTGCGTCTACAGGTCAAGTGACCTTTTAGAATAAGAGTCACCTGTTAGTTTGAATAAATAAAGTACCAAAACAAGAAACACAAATGATGAAAGTGCAGACAAACACACACGATGGTGAAAACAAACGGTTAAAGCAGGTAAATACAAACTAAACTTATACACACCACCAACGTTTACACAGCTGTAGATATGTAACCATTAAAACTACAATCATGGAGAACTGAAACAAACTTTTATAGACCTCCTCTGTGCAGGTATTTCAGTGCTACTGCTTCACTCTAACATTATATACTGTTACAGTCACTGTTGTACTGTGATATTTACTGTTGGTTCTCAGCGGGCTGATGGGATGTGTAGTTTCCTGTCAGTGATTCCATTTCCTGTGACTTGGAATGTTTGAAGGTCGTTATAAGTTTTTCTTTATAATTTGACAAAGAGTCACCTGTTCACAACTCTGTGTGTGTGTGGTTGTGTGTTCAGGCTTTAACGTGGAGACAGTCGAATACAAGAACATCTGCTTCACAGTTTGGGATGTTGGCGGTCAGGACAAGATCAGACCTCTGTGGCGACACTACTTCCAGAACACACAGGTACAGAAGCGGAACTCTCAGGTGCAGGCAGGTGTGGGGCTTTTCTCTCTCTGAGGAACGAGACGTTCAGGTTGATCTGCTTCAGTTATGTTTACGTGGACATACATGAGAGGTTTTCTTCTGTGACCCCTCACTGATCTGATCTGTCCTGAGATATTCATCTATAGTAAAATCCTCATTTATATCCTCTATCTCATCATATCTTTATATCCATACATTCTTTAGCAGTAAGTCACATAGAATAGAATAGCATAATTTATCAGAACAGTGAGTGCATATTTGAATGAAGTTGCAGTGGATTTGCTGTCCATTGAAATAATTCTATACAAATAAATCTAAAAGTATAAAATACATTGAAGAATGTCAAACATGTGTACGAATAGAAGTGACATTTATGTGTATATGCATGTTAATAAAAGAAATGAGTTATTGAACAGTCTACAAAGTCAAACATGAGACCTGCGCAGGTTATCCTAACACGGCTGCGTTCCCCCTCAGAAACACCTGAGGAGCTTATTTTAGATCCCTGACTCTGCAGCACGACAAACACAGCACAGACTTTCACTGGGCAGGATCCATTAGTCACTGTATTGATGTATTAATTGTATCGATGACTGATGTATTGATCACAGGGTCTGATCTTCGTGGTGGACAGTAATGACAGGGAGCGAGTCGCCGAGTCGGCGGAGGAGCTCTCTAAGATGGTCAGTCCCTTTGTTCACTTTACAGTTACGCATCATTAGACTCATGATTGTCATGGAAACCACTGACTGTATGTCACATGACTCTGTGCAGGTCCAGGAGGACGAGCTGAAGGACGCGGTACTTCTAGTGTTCGCCAACAAACAGGATCTCCCGAACGCCATGGGTGTCAGCGAGCTCACCGATAAGCTGGGTCTGCACAGCCTGCGCAGCAGAACCGTAAGGATCAATAACCCACCCGCACTGATCAGTACTACAGACTCAGTTCTGTTTCTCATGTTTCCCTCCATGGTTTATTGACTGACGATCTAAGTTCTCAGCTTTTTTTCTTGCTCAGTTCTGTAATTGTGAAATCAATAATCAGTCAATCAGTATACAAAACGGGAGACAGTGGGGTGACCTCAAATGAGCCCGCAGCATTGTTCTAGTGGTAGCGCTCTGAGCACATCAGCCAACCCCATATCGCGACAAAGCTTCATGTTGAAGCTGCAGTAATCTGCACTACCAGCAGGGGGAAATTATATATTTAAAGCCATGTGGGTAGTGAGCAAAAATAATTCCATTAATCATCAGAATCGATTAAGTTAGGTGGCTGATATGGATGTACATGTAAAGTGTTGATAATGTCTTTGTAATCGCGAGTATTTTCATGTTGGCTTGAAATAAAATATCTCCCTCTGTTGGTAATCTGTGATGTCAGTGCCAGTGGGCGGAACCCTTGGGTTTTAATTTTACAGTTGCATCCTAATTGGTTGTTAGAAAATCCACTCAGGGGTCTTGATGTCACTGTCACAAACTCATGGAGCTAAATCTGTTTAGACAGGTAAACTCACTTGTGTGTGCTCCCTGTACCTGCCTGCTCACCGATGCTGATCTGTGTGTGTTTCAGTGGCACGTGCAGGCCACCTGTGCGACGCAGGGCACAGGTCTGTACGAGGGACTGGACTGGCTGTCCAATGAGCTGTCGAAGCGTTAGACCACCTGACAGGAAGTAGAAAGCAGACTGATTTCAGCCGCTGATGTCACCGTGTACAGATGAGGAAGAGGAGGAGGAGGAGCGTGTCATCGCTCCATGTTTCTTTTTTTTCTTTTTTTTCTTCTTTTTTTTTTTTTTTTTTTTTTTTTAAATTATACCTGTGTGTCTGTAGGAGGAAGTGATGTCATGGACTCTGAGCTCACCTTGATTTCCCATCATCCTCTTCTTCTGTTCTTCAGGTGTTTGTTAGATCTTCTTTCTTTTAATCCGCATGTTTTAACTCAGATTCATGTGACAGGGGGAGGGGCGGGGCTTACGGCAAGTGACAGTCACCTGGGCATTGGGGGCGGGAATTATGACAGGTGATGGTCACCTGGTCGTGTGAAGACTCATTCCATAGAGCCAAGTATGGCAGCCTCGTCATTCCTTATCAAAGTGAAGGAGAAACTGAGACCATGATGCAATAAAGGTTTTTTTTCTTCTCACCTGTGTGTTCTGCTTTCTGTTTGAGAAACTTTATTCAGTGTTAACGGCCCGATGAGATGTTTACATAGGCCTGAAGATCTCTTGCTGACCTTTGATCCACCAATCACATATTGGATTTAACTTTATGGGCTACTGGACTGATTTACTAAGTGCGGAAAATGATTGAGACTGTGTATCTCCGGGATGTTCTGTTTATATTTATTTATCATTTAAATATGAAGATGCAGCTGCTTCACTTAAGTAAAAAAAACAAAAATCAGCTGCGAGTGGGACGGCTCAAAGACCAAGAGGAAGGAGAACCGCAGGCCTGCAAACCAAAATAATCCAGTGTGAGCACTTTAGCATTAAGTGTGCTGCTAGAGACGTGAGGCAATCTGACCGTTCATGAAGAACGTTTGTCACAGCCTGTTGTCATTTATGTGACCGCCATAAAACAACAGAACACAGCAAAGTAAGCTAGGTGTTTTGTAGTCCATCGGACATCCTGCATCACGTCATTAAGTAGAGTCGACTGTGAGGCGGTCTTCACAGGTTAGGCTGTCCTAATCACCTCAGTGAGGTGAAGGAAAATGGGTCAGGAATAGGAGACAGGAGGAACCTTTGGAATGCCCCCCTGGTCTTGGTGTCTGAAGAGCACCTGGATTAAAATGGAGGCGGAGCTCAGACTTCTACTGTCAAGTCCAAAAAGTTTTGTTTAACCCTTCTGCCCTCCTTGGGCATCTTTGTGCATTTCATTCTTTTCAACTTTTTTTTTTTGATTTGCCAATCGATGTGTCTATGTTATAGCTTGTGGCATGAACTTTTGCAGGAAATGTTGGGTCAAATTTTTTTATAATCAAGCATTTTTAACTCTCACATGTCATCCATACTTTTAATGCATTGTAAACCTTTTTGACATCTTTGTGTCCAAATGTACACGGAGAAAATCTGCCATAAAATCCTCATACAGCAATAATTTTTCTGCTTTTTTTTTTCATAAATCACTAAATCAACATAAGCCTTTTTCAAAATGATCAAATGTTAAATTATTTTCAGGACTTTAACCCTTTAAATGCCAGTTTAAACAGCTGAATATTTTTGAAAAAAACTCACAAAACTAAATATTTTCCATATGATAAATAGTATGGGGATGGGACGTGTTAAAGATCAGCAACAAAATCAATTTGATTGCATTAGTATTTTTTGTGTAGTGTGTGCGTGTATCTGAGAGTGTGTGTAAATCTGTAAACATGCACTAATAATTTGGGGGTGAATAAAGGTCATCTTGGAGCAGGGATGGGCAACTCCAGGACTCGAGGGCCGGTGTCCTGCAGGTTTTAGACATCACCCTGGGTCAACACACCTGAATCAAATGATTACTTCATTACCAGCCTCTGTAGAACTTCAAGACATGTTGAGCAGGTAATTTAGCCATTTGAATCAGCTGTGTTGGATCAAGGACATCTAAAACCTGCAGGACACCGGCCCTCAAGCCCTGGAGTTGCCCACCCCTGTCTTGTAGAGATGTATCTTTGCAGAGGGTCTTCAGGATAAATATGGCCTCCTGCTTTTACTGTATTCAAACAAAAACTCTTGTTAGCATGTTTATGCACCTGATTGCTTTCACAGTTAATAAGCTTGCAGCTTGGCTGAGGAAACCTTTCATTAGTAATGAGAGAAGGAGAAAGACCTGGAGCAATGGTGGCAGAGTGACAGACCTCTGCTCCTGCCCTCACAGAAAACACAGATGCTGTCACTGCTACCATCAGCTTGAGCAGAAAGAGAGATGTGTACTGGTTCTGCACAGGTCTAAAAAGAAGCTCTTCTTCCACCTGCAAGTGGATCCCGTCTATTTGTAGAGGGCACCAGGTCACATGCTGCAGGACCTGCACATCCTCACCCACACATGCATCCATCACACACAAAGCCTGTCTGTTCTGTTTCCATCGATGAATCAGATGTTGATTTCCATATAAATTACTCTTGGGGCCCCCTGGTGGTCACATGGCTTCATGTCATAACTGGCAAAAATGCAAGAATGTCATGCTTTTGCAATCAGAATTATGTGATGGCTCGCTGGTGCCCAACACATTTTGCTTTTTCAAAAATAACTCGATAGAATCTAATAGGCTCCTCCTTCATGTGAATGTTTTTTTTATTTATCCATTTGTGTTTGTGTTATTTCAGGTATTATATATGAGTGAGTATATACAAGTAGATGAGTGTGAGAATGCCTGTGTCTTTGTCACAAATGTATAATGAGGGTGAGAAACTGCAGCAATGCCCCGAGGCAGACAGATGGAACCAGGACAACCGCACCAGCTGCAGCCCCCAAATGTACCAATGACCTGAGACCACACATCCCGGTGACTTCTGCACACCCATCCCAGCAGAAGGGAGGGAGGCCCCACATGAGGTGACAGCCACAGAGGACCAGAGGCAGTGGACAGTCGATCCTGCTAGAGGCCAACCACCCTGGTAAGAGTTGAGAGCATGGCCCCAGGCACCCAGGACCACCCGACACCCAGCCATCCTACAGGTAGGATGCTCAGCATTACCACCTTCACAGTTCCACTCGATCAGACCAAAAGTTTCATGTTCAAAAACTTTTATTTCACACAAACTTTAAACATCAAAAACATCATCGTCATGGCAACTCTGTAACCCAGCTGAGCTTCTACACACTGATTGGCTCTTGCTGGTTGTGCTGACGTTTGACCACAAAGACCTTCTGACCAGAGACCGTCACCGTGTACACAAAGTCGTCCAGGATCACTGCAGACACACACACACACACACACACACACACACACACACACAGGTTAGTCCATCTGAAGTCACAGGGTTCCACCTGAGCTTTGTATCCCATCATGCAACATGAACAACATGCTCATCAAATACATGAAAACGTTGCTGATGATGATGCACCAGGTTTGAATCATGTGACAGTGATGACATCATTAACAGGTCTGAGAAAAACAAAGCAAAACACCTGAGTCATGTTTGTTTTTACTGAAGCTGATAAAGTGACCGTGCAGGTGTATTTGTGATACCTGACATGCGTTTGAAAGGTGGATCAGCTGATCCTGATAACCTGAAGCGACTTGCTGTTCGAACCATCTGCATCATGACACCTGCTGTGTGCTCGTCATTCTCCAGCTCGCCTGCAGACTGATCAGTAATCAATAATCAATCACTTTGATCCTCTTCTGATCAATAGACTTAACTCAACTCTTTAATCTATTTTAATAATCTGAGGATCCATATTTCCCCCTGTTTACAGCACTTTAATAATCCAGAATAATCTGAGAAAAGAGCAGAGTTCAGCTCGCAGTATCAAATGTGAATTCAGTTTAACCTGTAGAAATGTTAAATGAGCTTAAATCTAAATGGAGTCTGGTCTCTGTGTGACCAAACTAGCCTGAGCACCAGACTACTTGCAGAAATCACCTTATTTAACAATGAGCGTGGTTAAATAAAGACCAAACTGCACTCATAAAGAAGTTCTTTGTGAACTGAACATCTGAAAGCTCAGAGAGACTCACGGCCAGGACACCATCCTCACTGATGACCAGGTACCCAAGCTGGTCCGGGATCCGCTCCAGACCCGCAGTGAGCGCCGCTGTGGCCTGAAAGAATGACGACATCATCAGGATAACATTATGAAGCTAAAAGGAAGTGATGTTTGATGACTCATTGGTTCACTGATAAACGAAGATCAGCAGAACAAGAAGTGTGTTTCCTCAGGTCGAAGCTTCAGAGACTCACTAAACAGCCTTAGATCATTCGTCCAGTAATAATTCTGCATCTTCATCAGGTACGACCTGTGGTCCTCAGGTGCCAATGGGGTTACCCATTTAAAGATGGTTTCTTGTTTACCATGGTTACATTCGTCCTGCATACATGACACACACTCCCCGTTTCACAGGAACACAGTTGAGACCCCAGGGCGCAGGTAAACCCGCTTCGAACGTCACTCCCCCTCCTCTGTTTGTACCACTCCCTTCCTGCAGAGGGCGCTGTTGCTGTCCCGCAGGTATTTGCATTGAGCCCGATTATCAGTGATTATAACTCTGAAGAGAGCTCCAAGCTTCACCCTTGGAACGCTCTGGTTTTCATTTTTTGAAGGGAAGCATTTCCGCGTGTTTATCCTCCTTGTTCATAGAGAGGCTAAGAGGACGCTAACAGCGTTAGTGAACGGCACACAGCGGACAGTCCGAGATCCGTGAACGCCTCACCGAGGCCCTGAACGCTGAATTAAAAAACAAACAAACAAACAAAAAACCCAAAACGAGAATCAAAGTAAAACTTTAAACTCACCATGTTCGTCTTCTTCTGCTTCTACAGCCCACAGCTGCGCATTTCCGTCTTTATCGCAGAGCCTCACGTGACTGATGAGGCCTTCATGTGCTGTCGGACAAAAGAGACAGACACTCACGCACAGTGCGGGACTGACGGTCGGTGCTTGTCCCGATTATCAAATAAATAAGAATAAACGTTTGTGACATTTTAGGAATGTTTGGATTAATGTCGAGGACGTTGCTGTCTAAATATGACCTCATTGTTGCCCGATAAAGATGAAAATAAAATAAAACACATAAATAAACGAGTGATGTTCATATTTTTTTTTATTTCTATAGGGGGCGCCATATTGAAGCGGAAGTGCAGGTCAGCTGATCCCTCACATGACGTGTCCCGTGAAGCTGAGTGTTTCTCTCCGGGAATCTCACCTGCATCTCCGTGATGGCCGGCCGCGGGAAACTGATCGCCGTGATCGGAGACGAGGACACGTGCACGGGCTTCTTGCTCGGCGGGATCGGAGAACTGAACAAGAACCGGAAACCGAACTTCCTGGTGGTGGAGAAGGACACAAGCATCACCGAGATCGAGGAGACTTTCAAGTAAGATGGACTCCACACACACACACACACACACACACACACACACACACACACACACACCAAAATGTGTTAAAAATCAGCCGATTTAACGCTCCTTTCACGTGTTTCTGTCAGTGTCA